GTTCGAGTTTCTGCAAGAACCAATGAGGTTTCTCGCATGGCAAGAAAGTTTGATTGAACTTATTTGAGTTTACTAAATTACATTTGTTTCCTGTATAAAATGATTGTGTCCTCTTAGAAGACTTGGATTAAACAGCTCGATTCATTTAGATTACATTTATAATTGCTTTATAAACATTTTGAAGTGTAAATTTAGCCTTTTAATGGAGAGACAAAAATCTCTCAGATTTCTTTCAGATATGACACGGAATGACATGTTGGTGAGTTAATGATTTATAATGATCGAGTTAATGATTTTTTTATTTAAATTTTTGGATGAACTACCTCTTTAAGAACAGAGGATAGGTGGCACGCTAAAGTAGGGGTTTTCAAAGTTCAACTCAATGTTTGCATCCATCAATGTTTGCATGTAATGTTTTAAACACCTATTTTTTTTACTTCAGAGTCGTGCATTAAAATTCAGTTTAAAGGAAATCTACATTTCTCATTTTTATTCATAAAGATAACATGGACAATGTGCCATGCTTTAGTGGACGATTTCTGCCACCTGCTGGAAATAACAAACACTTTTAAAATGAAAATAACATGAAATTACCATTATTACCAGTAAATGAATAATGAAAAGAACAGCATTTCCAACAAAGATAATAAATCAGCATATTAGAATGATTTCTCAAGATCATGATTCAGCTTTGATCACAGAAATAAATTACATTTTACAATATATTAAAATAGAAAACGGTTGTTTTAAATTGTATTAATATTTCACATTACTGCTTTTTCTGTATGTTTGATCAAATAAATGCAGCATTTAGCAGAAGTTAGACATATATAGCTAGACATATCTGAAAAAAAATTGTGTTGTTCTGTTTATTTGTGTTATTGCAAGCATCTTCCTATTTTAATATTATTTACAATTCACTCGTTCACATAATTGTTTAAGTCTAGGTGTTAACACCTAGCAAATTGATTTAGTTTTAGTCTTTTGACTCGAAATCCATTTAGTCAGTCATCTGAATTGTTTTAATTAAAATGCAATGCATTAATGAAAATTTCACTTTGTGTACTTATGTCAATGCCAGTTTATATGACTGTAAACATTTTCAAAAATATTATTTTCTTTATAGGAAAAACTGTAATGAGAATGGAAACTCACCTATTCTTTTCTCAGTATCTTTGGCTTTGGCTTTGCATGGGTCTGGAATTCTTATTTCTTCACTTTCTTCTTTAATAAACTCCATGTTTATCATGTGTCACGCAGATCTCATGTTTAAGATGATGAGAATAATGAACTGGAAATATAAATAAACACAAAGCATGTCTTTCTGCAACTCTTGTAGATGAGCTTTACACATAATTTATGTTGCACCTTTCACATAAAACATTACATCCAGCACTCCACCTTAATCTGCAATACTCTGTGTAAAAAAAATAATATTTAAACACTGACGGGTTAAACTCACAAACCTCTCAGCACACGCTGGCGCAGCATTGTGACGTCAGCGCAACGCAAAATAAAAGTCTTGTTCAAACGCTGTTTCCACATTATATATTGATAATGAAACATACATCACGGGATACATTTATTTTATTTGGTGAACTGAATATTAAAATACACAAGTCGTCCAACGATGTGAAAATACACTACCAAGCGAGACTCCACTCAGAATAGATATTTACACTGCTTAAGTATAATTAAAAATAGCGTTTTGTGGTACTGAAATTAATAATGTGTTAATTGTTATTGTTATTATTATTATTATCATCATCATCCCGTAACCGTCTGAAAAGACTTTTATTTTGATGTGTGTTGTGGCGTCATAATAATGCGCCTGCGAGGTTTGTTGTTGTTTTGATTGAACCCGTGTTAGAGCGCTCAGATGGATTTAAAGTGTTTATAAATGCACTACAGCATAGCAGTAAGTACTACACATGTAATTACTCTGTAATAAAGCTTTTTTGCCACAGTGGTGAAATGAAAGTAGAGTACTGTACTGCTGTTATGCATAAAAGATTTATTTATTTCAGGTCATTATTCTCATCACATGACACAGAGAGCAACAGCTCCGAGCGAAACAGCAGAGATCTACGTAACAGCATACTATAAACATGGAGTTAATTCAAGAAGAGAGTGAAGGAATAAGCAGATCCAGGCATTAGAGGCCAGTTGTGTGTGTGTGTGTGTGTATGTGTGTGTGTGTGTGTGTATATATGGTACAACGGGGTAAAAGGCGTCTTTGATATTATTTTCGCAAATTAGAATCACTAAAATTAATGCATATATTTTGAGACAAAAGTCTTCTTTATGATTTTCAGTTTTGTTTAAGATAATTAAAGCTACAGATTTTAAATAACAAAAGGGTAAATAGCGCCCTGCTGTCGGGGCTAACAGTAATTAACATGATAATTAATAGAGGGCTGACTTTTCCATCTGTTGACATGACGTGGTTAGATTCAGATGTAAATATCATATATTATGTTGAGTGTCCATATTAGAGATAATCACCATGTTTAGAACGAAACCATCATATTTAAAGACATGATATTAATCATATCATATAATAAAATATCATTTGCTGTTACTACTGTAAATATATATTCAATTATTACTGGATCTCCTTCAGTGCTTTCAGAATCTTTACTTATTAAAATTATTTAGTTTCTGTATTTTTTAAATATTTTTTTATATTAAAGTAATATAAATATATATATTTATTTAAATAAGCAGAAAATAGTACAAACTTTGCTAAAGTGATTGTTTTGAACAGGTATTAACTTAGACATTATTTAAAAAACATTATTTTAGCTGAAGTATTTGTATCAATACCGTGTGTGGGGTACATTTAGACGATTTTTAAACAAAATAAACAACTTGAATGATTTATTTTCACACAAAATCTGTTGCTCCATTAATGTTCAATACAACATACATATTCTTTCTGCAATTATACATTTTAGGCGCAGTGAAAAGCACATTTTTCTTAAGGGGTGCCTTTAGCCCCGTTGTACCCTATATATACAGTATATATATATATAAATAAAACACTGTGCAAATGTTTAGTGAAAACTTATAATGAATAAATAACTTTAATTTTCATCTTTCAGTTCATTTAATAATTAACTAGGGGTGTGCCATATGATGATACAATACAACATACATATTCTTTCTGCAATTATACATTTTAGGCGCAGTGAAAAGCACATTTTTCTTAAGGGGTGCCTTTAGCCCCGTTGTACCCTATATATACAGTATATATATATATAAATAAAACACTGTGCAAATGTTTAGTGAAAACTTATAATGAATAAATAATTTAATTTTCATCTTTCAGTTCATTTAATAATTAACTAGGGGTGTGCCATATGATGATTTTTGATCGATTAAAATGTCTCCACGATCTGCTTTATCGTAAATATGGACTGGTTCAGGAATCGGTTCGAATCTTGGCGCGGCTTTTTGACAGCTATATAAACCCATGGGATGTGTGGTTGTGATAGAGGGGAGCTTTGGTTATGTGTTAGTGTAGCTTATTTGATATTGTTACTTGTTGTTTCTTTGGAGCCAGCAAAAAAGAGAAAGACTTCCCCTGTATGGGAATACTTTGATCAGATTTCTTCTAACAAGGTACGCATACATACAGTACATTTATACATACATTATTACCAATGCATTGTATTTGTAAGAAAAAAATGCATCATTCTTACTATCTTTTATTCAAAGGTGAAGTGTATGTTGTGCTCTAAGGAATTGGGGTACAATAATAACACTTCATCTATGATAAGGCATTACCGTGCGTTGCATGAGAACAAGGAGAGAAATGGATGTGGGCCCAGCCAAGGTGTGTCATTACAAATATTATACAGTGTTCCATCCTGATTTTTGTAAATCATGCAAGTGAAAGAAAGGTAAAAAATGCTTTATTTACTCAACTTCTCTTTTTGTTCTAGCTACCAGAAAACAAGAGCTGGACGAGGCCCTGGTCACAATGATTGTGAAAGACACACAGCCATTTAGTATTGTGGAGGATGTGGGATTTAGGGACTTTGTTCAGAAACTAGACCCGAGCTATGTTCTTCCCACAAGGCAGGTGTGTATAGGTCCATGCATTAAGCAGAAGAGTATTACAATATTGCATTTGGCAGTTAAGCACTGCTTCTTCTGTCCTTTAGGCTGTGAAGGCCATGGTGGAGGCGAAATATGCCGAGTCCAAGGAGAAGGCCAAAGCTGACGTGAAGAAGGTGACTGCAGTGAGCCTGACGTCTGACCTGTGGACGTCCATCAACATGGGTGCCTACCTGGCAGTAGCTTGCCACTTTGTGGACAGCAACACTTGTCTCAATTCAGTTCTGTTAGGAGTGCTCAAATTTCCCCAGGCACACACTGCTGAAAATTTAGCTCACTTGAAAGCCTCCCTCATGGAGGAGTGGGGGATAACCAACCATGTAACATGCCTGGTTACAGATGGCGCTGCTAATATGATCGCCTGTGGCAGGGAACTGAGGCTCCGTCACACGGTCTGCATTGCACACACTCTTAACCTGATAGTTAAAAAGGCTCTTGACCAGACCCCTGTGCTCGCTGATATTCGGGCCAAGGCGAGGAAGCTCGTGGGATACTTCAGAAGCAGCGTCACTGCTAAGGTGTGTTCTTTGAGTCTGTTACAATGTCTGCTTGTGTTACTACTGCTGTGACAATTTAAAGCAATAAGCCCCGTGAAGTGAATTTATAACAGCTAAGTGGGTTTTAGGCACGATGTGAAGTGGAGTAGCTGTTATAAATTCACTGTAAACCACGGCTTCACGGAGCTTATTGCTTTTATAAAATGGTTATTCCATTTGTGTCCCTGCAGCACAAAAGCAGTGTTAAGTCGCTGGGGGATATTTGTAGCAATAGCCAACAATACATTGTATGGGTCACAATTATACATTTCTCTTTTATGCCAAAAATCATTAGGATATTAAGTAGAGATCATGTTCCATGAAGATATTTTGTACATTTCCTACTGTAAATATATCAAAACTTAATGTTTGATTAGTAATATGCATTGCTAAGAACTTCATTTGAACAACTTTAAAGATGATTTTCTCAATATTTAGATTTTTTTGCACCCTCAGATTCCAGATTTTCAAATAGTTGTATCTCAGCCAAATATTGTCCGATCCTAACAAACCATACATCAATGGAGAGATTATTTATTCAGCTTTCGGCTGATGCATACATCTCAATTTCGAAAAATTGACCCTTATGACTGGTTTTGTGCTCCAGGGTCACATATACGTAATAAAGTTTCACAAAATAAAACAGAGCAAATAAAGTGTAAAGATATTAATAAACACAGTATTCTTCCACCAAACAATGTAGCGCCTCAGAAACAGTTGTGGTTGCTACAAAGTGGTTGCCGAGCAACACACAAACGTAAACAAAGGTGTGTGTTACTTTGTAGCGTCATTTATAACAGCTTCGACTCAGCCAATCAGAATCAAGGACTGGAACTCTCCGTTTTCTAAAAATGAATTGCTTCTCTTTTTTAAAGGAAAAGCTTGCACAGCTGCAACAGCAGATGGGAAGGCCTACGCTGAAGCTCCTTCAGGAGGTGGAGACCCGCTGGAACAGCACCTTTCAAATGCTGCACCGTCTGGTGGAGCTCAAAGAGCCAGTGCGGGCAGCTTTAGCCAGTCTGGCCACTGAGATACCCCCACTGAGCTCTGATGAGCTCACCTCTGTGACTGCATGCCTTTCATTGCTCTCTGGCTTTAATGATGCCACCGTGGAGCTGTCAGAAGAAAAGAAGGTTTCTGGGTCTAAGGTATTGCCGCTGCTTAAAATGCTAGATGAAAATCTGCAGGAAGAGATGAAGAATATGGCATCTCCAGTGGCAAGACAAATGGGAGAGCATCTGAAAAGACAGTTAAGGGAGAAGCTCAACACATTGCAGTCTATGAGCATCATGTCACTTGCAACAATGCTGGACCCTAGGTTCAAAGCGATGGGATTTTTTAGTCCTACAAAAGCCAACGAGGCCATAAAAAGGCTTACATCGGAGTGTGCTGCCATAGTTAGCTCTGCAGCTCAACCATCAGCATCACACGGGGCTGAACTTGTAACCCCAGGTAATTTGGTTTTTGGTTTTGAGGTCATTTTGGATGAATTACTACACTCACTAACAAGGTCTTTGTATACTTCTCAGGTAACAAACTGTGGCGTCATCTGGATGACAGTGTGATGGAGTCGAGAAGAAGGCACAGCGTTACAGCAGACGCTACTGTGGAAGTCCAGCGGTACCTTGCCGAACCAAATATTGGGCGATTAGAGGACCCCCTGCAGTACTGGGAGAGACAGAAGCTTATATATCCTCATCTGTATAGGCTTGCTGTCAAGTATTTATGTACCCCGGCTTCATCTGTGCCTTGCGAAAGGGTGTTTTCAAAGGCAGGAGAAGTTGTGTCAAAAAAAAGAAATCGCCTTAGCCCTAAAACATTTGAGAAATTAATGTTTCTGAATAAACATGTCTGAAGTATACCCTCTTCATCATTTTCCTTGATCAAGCCATCAGAGAGCATAACATCATAGACGAGGTTTATTTGGACGAGCTCTTAAATACAATTTTAATAGTTGAAACAAATACTTTAAAAACGTTTCAAACAATAATGAATGTCTGTGTATTTTGTAATTTTCTAATGAACATTTTTAAATGATCGGTTCTAACTGTAGTGGTGTGTCAGGAGTGTTTATCGTATTTGTCTTGTCTGTTACAATGGAACATTTATTCATTTGCTTTGTCAGACTCGTAACAGTTGTAACAGTGTACTCAAGTCAAAACACCCCATAAGTTGGCAGGTGTTTTCCAGCAAAGGTGTTTATTACAAGTAAATATCAATATCAGAGCTACAGGTTTGTTCTGTATTGAAACATATTAAGCTGTAGATGCACAAATACACTAATGAAAATACATTTATTGCAAAGTTCTTCAACAGGGAGTTTTGTTTTGTATATATCGTGTATATGTAAACTATACAGGTGCGTACGTGTGTGTATGTGTTTGCATTTGTACATTAATTATGCTGATTATTGATCTTGCCTTTCAATTACAACTGGAAGAGAATTTCATCTGCACTGCATTTTATCCACACTACATTCTTGCTGTGCTTGCATCATAGCGGGAAAAAATGCGAGAAGGTTAGCTCCTGTCTCAACATCTCCACAGTACGATATTTATATAGAAATATATAAGTGCATTGACAAACTCTTTAGATTTGTCCCCCAGCTTCTCTAAAGGAGAGGCCGTGATTTCTTACTTGGTCAATTAGGGTAGCTGCTTTCACTTGAAATTGGTCTGTACCTTCTATCTCTCCTTCCACTGTGCTGTCCACTTCTTCTCTGTCCATGTCTTCTTACAGTTTCTCCTCATGCTCTTTACACCAATGGCCTGCTCTCTACTCATCTAGTAGAAACGGCATTTCCTTTGTTGTCTGTTATTAAGCGAGCAGTTATTAGTTTGTGGTTGTGTATTTGATGATATGACAGATTACAGAGTGTTGTTTGTTGTGTTTGGACAAATCAATGTTTGTGATTTGTATAAAACCAATAAAAGGAGCTACAATTGTTTGTTTTCCCCCCAGATGTTTTAAAGCACTGGTTAGTTGTATTAACTTACGAAAACATTTGAGAGTTTTGTTCACAGTGTTTTGAGAAAATGATTTGCATGACATGAATGAAAACAACAATCTGTTTGGGACAATTATAAAGTGTTCAGATCACTGTGTAAGCTGTTCTCAGAACAGTAACCTGAGTTTGGAGAAATGTGCCAAATCGATTGTGAAAAACTGTAACTGATCTGGGTCGTTCAAGTCCAGTCCCATACACTGGCTGTGCCCGTCTTTCCCAGAACTAACTTACACATCGCCCCTCTCCTCAAACAAAGTATGCATAACATTGGCAAGTTAACCACAGGCTTCAGATAAGAGCCTTGATATTCACATTGGAAATGGGGGGGTTGAAGGATCCAGGGATCTTAATTTCTTAAAAGAAACCTATGAGTGAGATAATTGGCTCTGTCTTGCACATTTGCTCTGCGCACATTTTGAAAGCTGTCAGGCAAACCGATGACAAAGGGCTGAGAGACTTTTCCACGTATGCGTTCCGTCCATTATGTGCCCTGCTCTCAACCCCACAAATCACAAACCTTGTCAAAGAAAGTCTGTATATTTTGGAGAGTGTAATTTCAAGGATACACTGGAAGAAACTACCCAATCTAAAGACTGCGAGATGTGTGAAAGTGAAGGCAGAAGACGTGCAACGACCATCATTGGCAGATCACCATTCTCTGCTTATTTTCAGCAGGCCATGCGAGAGGTGAAGGAGCAAGTGGCAGGTGATGAGACATGGCTGGTTAAAGAAGCATCCTCACTGTCCTCTGTTCAGCTGTTTGCTGTCATGCTTTCCGAGTACTTGTCAATAATCTGATGTATTCAGCACCATGGACAGTGACATTTATGCAGGACTGTAAACATCATTCGATGCACTTGAATTGTGATATTGTGAGAGTTTAATGTTAAACGAACATGTCATACAACAGGAAAACATAAAAGACAGTTTAGCCATTCTTTTCATTCAACAGCTGGAGAACACTGTTAAGTCTTTATCACACTAAAACCAGAAAAACAGGTGAATAAAACAGCAAGACATGGGCTGTAGTATGTTCGGTAGGCTCTAAAAAATGCTGGGTTGTTTCAACCCAATGTTGGGTCAAATATGGACTAACCCAACTGTTGGGTTAAATTTTGGTTACATTTTTAAATGAGCTTTTTAACCCAACAGTTAGGTTAGTCCATATTTGACCCAACATTGGGTTGAAACAACCCAGCATTTTTTAGAGTGTAGGCTCCAGACAAGATGTTCCAACTGGCTCTGGAGTAGTCGGCCCATGCTTTCAAAACCTATTGGAATAAAGCATATGTCATTGTTAAAACCATAACAAACCAACACAGGTCTTTTTCATTTTGAAGCAAAGATATAAACAAAAATAGTTGTAAAATTAAGCGATTAACTATGTTCAGGAGATTCCAGGTGATTTTCCACTGGATTGTTACCAAATTACGGTTCACGTACATGTTCATTATTTTTCATTTCCCAAACATCTTTTCAAAAAACATCATTATAATGCAATTTTTATTGTTGCTAAAGAAAAATCTATAGCATTAGAAGGCATAATGTGAGTGATAGTTGCTGGGACATCTGTAGTTGGCTACAAAGTTGTTGTCTGTTTGCACACAATGAAAAAAATTACAACTTTTTAGATGTCTCTATCTTGTTTTCGGCTCTACGTTGGACATTCGGTGGACATTCGCAAGTAAGCATACCATTAAAACTATACTTGGCCATTTTGATCGATTGTGGGAAAAAAAATGTAGTAGGTTGACAATCATGTCGCAAAAATGTATTTCAAGAAATATCCTACATTACCACCTATTTTGTATCTCAAACAACAGAAAATGGCCATTCAACAATCTCCTCAACAGCTCTCTTTAAATAACTTATTCAACAAAATGTAATTTCATTAGGCAACAATTTTGTATATCTAAAAAAACAAATAAACATATTATTGGTTCACTGATTGACAATCATGTCGCAAAAATGTATTTCAAGAAATATCCTACATTACTACCTATTTATATTTTGTATCTCAAACAACAGAAAATGGCCATTCAACAATCTCCTCAACAGCTCTCTTTAAATAACTTATTCAACAAAATGTAATTTCATTAGGCAACAATTTTGTATATCTAAAAAAACAAATAAACATATGTTTGGTTCACTGATCATATGTAAATACTTCCGAGTTCTCTTACTTGAAATCTAATGTAACCCAATAATCCTCATAAACTGAGTGATATGAATGTCTGTTGTGATGTTTAATATGAAAACAATCCTCGTTCTGTACTTTCCTCTCTAATGTTCACTGTATTTAGAAGACATTTCCTGTGAAAGACAATAAAGATTTAAATAAAGCATGCATTTTCTCTTAAACACATTATAAGACAAATGATAAGGTCATTTATAACGGACCAATAAATTGTTTATATTACATTTTAAATAATTGTGTGCAGCAAATCTGACATTACACATGAAACACGGACTACATCAGTATATAAAGCAACATTAACCAAGATGACTAAATGCTGTAAAATATATATGACGACTGAAAGAAATAAGGAACTACTGAGGAAGAAATGGGCCAAGTAGATCAATATGGTTACCTCTGCATGAGAACCTACTGGCTTGTACAGTAAAGACATTAAAGAGCAGAGCTGAGTAGATTACTTACCAATTATAGTCTGTTACTGATCACAGATTACATGATGAAAACTAGTTTGTAACGTAATGTATTCTGACGACCTTTTAGATGACTTGTTTTAAACTTACCATTAAACATGCCATACAGATAGAAAAAGGAAAGGGAAAGAAAATATATTCCTTTTGTTTTCATATCAACATGATAAAATGCATTAAACATTACATTAAACCAGGGTTTCTCATGGGCTTGCTGTAAGAACTGCAGTGGGTGTTTGAGTTGATAAAAAGCTAAAAATGAATTAAATCATAAAAATGTAAAATTAAATGACTGGTTTAAACACCTGAACACTAAAAATAGAAATTTAATTGGTTTACCTGCATATCAATGTAACCAACAGCTGACATTCTTTAAAATAAAAAAGAATCAATAAATTATGAATAATTTACTGCCATTGTGTGAATAATATGTAATCCATAAAAAAGTAATCTGATTACAAGCAATATAAAATGTAATGTACTCTAATTATGAGTGCATGTAATCCCCAGCACTGTCTTCATTTGTTAGCTTGAGAGAATGAGTTTGTAATTCGTGGCCACAATAAATATATTATTTCGTGTCATGTGCCAGGCTCATTTTAAACGTGGTTGGCGAACATGGGAACTATTTCTTAATTTGTGGCCATGATATTATATTTATAATGTCATTTGTAATGTTTGCTAAGTTTTTTTGTTCAAAAAAACTTTCAAAATTCTGGACTGCAATCAATAAACAGGTATATTTCGTGAACTTTAATTTTTTTTCTTTCCTTTCCCCCCAGACTTGTGTTTAACTGATGAAACTCCACTGTTCTGACTGTGTTGAACTCGATAATGAACTGCGATTCATTTCCAATTACCTGTCTTTCCAATTCAAATTCCACATCATCATCCCTGGGATGTGGAAAAATGTAATTAATGAAAACATACATGCTGTGGTATACATAGTACACACACACACACACACACACACACACACACACACACACACACACACACACACACACACAGGTATTTCTATAATTATGGGTTCATCCCGTAGATGTAATGGTTTTTCTTCTGTACAAACAGGCATTTTTAGATTTTCAAAACACGTCATTCTGTATAATCTATAAGCTTTTTTCCCACAAGGTCAAAATGTACTGGTATTACTATCCTTGTGAGGGCATTTGGTTCCCCTAACACAGTGAATACCAGTACACACACACACACACACACACACACACAGACACACACACACT